GAAAAAAAAATGTAATAATTTATAAGGAATATCACCTACCCTGCCCAACCCTGTGAATCTTAATCCTTCCTTTACTTCCACTCTGCCCTTTTTATGGTGTGTGTGAGGGGGAAGAGGGGAACAGGCACCAATTTCTCCCACGGGGGGAGTGAGTTGGATGTTTCCCCCATCACCCAGGAGCTGTGGGGGTCACTCCCAGCCTGACCCCTCCACTCTGGGGGTCCCCTTTCCCTTTTCCTGCGTGATTCCAGCCTGGTTTAACGCGTGGCTTGAGCTCCCAGGCAGCCAGTCCCGCTGACTCCATGGGGGGTAATGACAGGCAGTGAGTTTTCTGCTTGGCTCCGAGCTCTTTTCATCTCTTTAAACTGATGAAAGCCATGCCAGCAAAGCTCTGGGTTGATTTTTTTGATGGGAACTGTGGGGGCTTGGCACTGCCGAGTGTCGCCCCTGGTCTTGCAGCCCAGGGGCAGAGAGAGATCTCCCCCTTCTTGTGGTTTATCTGAGCCCTCGGTATCTGATGCAACAAAACGCTGAGGTGGGACTTGCCCCTGTCTGTCTGTTTGTTTGTGTCAGACACTTGTTCCCCCGTTTATCTGCTCGATCAAAACAGGTTACACCAAGCAGAGCTACTTCCCTTTGATTTCATCTGTTGAGGCTATGGGGGGGAAGCCAAAGCTTTTACAAAAGGGCGATAGGGAAGCTCTTCAAACACAACCATCGGTAACTGAATAGCTGCGGGCGCTCCCGAGCATCTTCCCTCCCCACCCTGGATCCCGGGGAACTGCCCGGCCTGCCAGGAGCCCTGGGAGGGGTGTGCTGGGCACCCCAGTGTGGGGAGCAGAGCCGGGCTGTGCCTGTGTGGGTGCAGTGTGGGACAGCCCTGCAGCCTTATCGCTGCCTTGGCAGGGCTGGGATTGCTCCCCGGGACAGGGGGTTGGTGGTGCCAGTCAGGTCTGGGAGCTGGAGGGGCAGGAGGTGGGCAGAGGGGTGTGGTTGGATGGGGAGGGCACACGGAGCTGGGACACCGGGCTCTGGTGGCAGTGGGAGCAGGGTTATGTCACCCTCACAGCCTGGGTAACCTCTGAGCGATTTGGAATATCCTGAGTTGAAAGGGATCCTCAAGGATCATCCAAGTCCAACCCCTGGCCCTGCACAGACACCCCAACAATCCCATCCTGTCCCTCAGAACCTTGTCCAGAAACTTCTTGAGCTCTGGCAGCCTTGGTGCTGTGCCCACGGCCCTGGGGAGCCTGTTCAGTGCCCAACCACCCTCTGAAGGAAGAACCTTTTCCTATATCCAACCTAAGCCTCCCCTGACACAGCTCCAGCTGTTCCCTGGGTCCTGTCACTGCTCACACTGCCTGTCCCTCTGCTCAGTGCCTGTCCCTCTGCTTCCCCTCATGAGGAAGTTGTAGACAGCCACGGGGTCTCTCCTGGAGAGAGCAATAAAGCAGGTATCTTGTCTCTCAGAGAGAGAAAGACCCTGTCTTTTAAACCTCAAGAAAATTAAGTGCTAAGTGGCTCTGATGCATCTACTCCTAAGTGTCCCTTTTGAGGAGAACCTGCTGTGAATGTCCTTCGTCCCTGGCATCCTCATCTTCACCCAGCCTGTGGAAGGATGGCAGCACCAGACACCTCTGCTGCTGGCACAGGATGTCTGAGGGCCCCTGGCAGTGGAGCAGAGAGCAAGGGCAGCTCTGAAACTGGACACCAAAACTTCCACCAGAGCCAGATCCCCTCCCAGTACCCGGTTTGCATTAAACCCATGTCAGGGCAGATGGAAAATCAGAGCCCTTGCCTCAGTCTGTCTCTGCCACAGTGCAAGCTCAGTTAAG